ACGTCTGTTAAAATTTGCTATTATTGATAATTATGAGCGCATTTTTCTTCAATATATGGACTCCAACTTAACTGCGTATGTAAAGATTCTCTGAGCATCAGCTCTACAGTTTCCTTGGATATAACTTTCTTCTCCCATCCTTTTTATTCTTATTCATCATTCCGCTAATATCCATTTATACTCTACTTTATTAGTCGTATTAACACCTTTTAGGAATTTTCTCAGTATACTTCACCACTCCTTACATATACATTTCAATCGTCATCCCCCACTCACTTAAGAGCCTTGGGAGAACGGCGTAAGACAGTGATTCTCCCGAGTTAGAGAGAAACAAATCACTTTTTGTTCTTGCTATCTCTTTTCTTACACCTTTTCTTTCTTCTCTATTCTCCTTACGATACCTGCAAACCGCAATCTCCAATTGCTTCACTTCATTGATAGGTGTCTTCAAATGCTTTCGGGTTCATTACAATGATCATTGGTTTTCGCTACTCCGCCTGTTGTTACGTAAAGGTTCAATTCAAGCTACGCCAATCAAAAATTGCGCTAATCGTTGCCTCTCTTGATTAGGAGCGTCATGATTTTCTAAGCATATGAATCCCAACAGAATGGATCAGATCTCAGTTTTGTTTAACTCCCATCTCCCTATGATTCACGAAAAACTCAATCACCCTATATCTTCCAACTACCACAAAAATATTAGTGTTGCGTCTGTACCACAGTGCAAATTGGCGTGACATGTAAACATCTCAAGCAGCAGTCCTTACAATACGTACTCCTCAAGCAAGCGTTCCACACAACGGTCGACTTACGTGTTTTACCATTGCCAATGATGATCTCAATCGTCGCATGATGTTACCTTCATCATGAAAAAAAACGATGGGAGTATAGTAGAAGAAAAGCCCTCGGGAAAAAAATTTTGACTTAAGGAAAATTGTGGAATTAAAAAATGAGGGATGGGCGCCATCCTGAAAGGGGGATGGCGCCCATCCCTCATTTTTTAATTCCACAATTTTTCTTAACTTCTCGATTCTGGTAACGGATAATGGCTTACACAAGCTTACTAACGTACCTAGCTTCGTCAAGCAGATGATTGACAGACATTTCCAATGAACCGTTGGATACGTTTCATACATTTTATTTTTTAGAAAACACACCAGTTCGCACATAACAATAATCTCTCAAATTAAATGAAAAACGCACATATATCTGAATGACAGAGGGAGCTCCTAAAGACCGGCTTATTGTCGACAGCTGGTCCCCTAGAATTGTATGGATTTCCTCCGAGCCACTGA